AGAAAAACAAACCTACATGAATACAGACACAAGAGGGCCACAAAGTAGTATTCACAGTACAGCCAAAGAGCCACGCATCCAGACCAGGTAACCCAGTCCCTAGGGTATGACAAGTCCCATTCCTGGAAAATCAGTAGCTGAACCCCTAAACTCTGCAACCAGCAAACTGAAGAGAATCACAGGATATACAATAAATAAGCAGTATTAATTCCTCTATATACCACCAATGGATTTGTACACACCAAAATTATAATTGTTTTAAAATAATCAATTTCAGGTGGGGAGGTACTTCAGCTGTGTTTCATCTCCAGTACCACAAACAACTGACCGATCATTCCATCAAGCAACCAAAATCTATCAAAACATGAGCAGAACTTACAAGCTGGAAACCACAAAGCAATTATAGACCTAAATGTGAGGCGAGGCTAGGTTTGAGGACTAAAAGACTCAGCACAGAAAGTTGTTGATTCTCCCTTCAAACTACTTCACACCTTTACCGCAGTTTCTATCACAGGGCAGCATGATTTCCTTGGGGATGGGTGAGGTTATTCCTATGGTGAGGCAAGCAAGTAGAACCAAGGAAGCAACCCTGAGGAAAAATCTCCTCCACTATTGAGGACACTATGAAGCACGAGCTTCAAGCATGGGTATATGGAGAGAGGGACAGGCACACAGACTGCCCCACAACTCTGCAATGACACCTGACAAAGGTGTACACCATCCCTAGACTAAAAGACAGCCTTTTCAGCAAGAGATGCTACAGAGAGGGGACATGCATGGGATAAAAAATAAATAGCCCAGTGGAGCTCCTACAAAAGTTCAAAGTGGGTCACAGGCACAAATGTGAAACACAAAAATAAAACACTTTGGGGTGCTTGGCATGTGATATAGAGAGATGGATGGATGGATGGATGGATGGATGGATAGATAGATAGATTTTTGTTGTTTGTTTGTTTGAGACAGTGTTTCTCTTTGTAGCCTTGGCTGGCCTGGACTCACTCTGTAGACCTGGCTGGCCTGGAACTCACAGAGATCCGCCTGCCTCTGCCTCCAGAGTGCTGGGATTACAGGCGTGTGCCACTGCGCCGGTTCATGTTTTTAATCCTCACATTAAGGAGGCAGAGGAAGGTGGATCTCTGTGAATTCGAGATGATCTACATGGCAAGTTCCAGGACAGGCATGGCTACATATGAAGACTCTACCTCGAAAAGTAAAAACAAAAACAAAAATAAAAGGTGGAGTGGCCTGGATATACAGCTCAGGTTAGGAGCACTCATTGCTCTTGCAGAGGTTCTGGGTTCAAGGCACGCATGGTGTACACACATGCATACGTACACAAAGTACTCCTACACATAAAAGAAATAAATGTTAAAAAATTAAACAGTAAGGTGGCGAGCAATAATGGAAAACACCAGATGTCAACCCTGACAGCACACACATATTATTTAAAATAATTTTAATGTGTATGAGTGTTCAGCCTGTGTGTGTATGAGCACCACATGCATGCAGTACTCAGAGGTCAGAAGAGGGCATCAGATACCCTGGAACTAGAGTTGTAGACAGTTGTGAGCCACAAAACAAGGGCAGCAAGTGTTCTTAACTGCTCCAGACCAGCATTTTTTTGGGAGGGGGACCCAGAACTACGGTACAACCATATGTTTTCACTACTACACAGTAATAAAACAGAGCATGCTACAGAGAGTCCTAAGCTAGCTATGACTGGCTCAGAATCTGCTGATGTAGGGAAGTAACACACTTCAGTAGAGGCACACTTGGGGTCCTCGATCCTGATCTTCCCTATGCAGGCTGCAACACCTTCAGTGCAGGGCAGTCAGACACCACGGAGCCACACAATCCCAAAGGCAAACAACTAACACTTTGGTATGCTGTTTGAAAGCTAGGATATTTGGGATTTTCTTGGGGTTTTTCCTTTTCTTTTTTAATAATTTAATTTTATGTGCAGTGGTGTGAGGATGTCAGACCCTCTAGAAACCAGAGTCACAGAGAGCTGTGAGCTGCTATGGAATTGAACCCAGGTCTTCTGGAAAAGCACCAATGCTCTGAACTTACATGAAGCCATCTCTCCAGGCCCAATCTTGGGCATTTTTCATACTGCCAACTTATGATGGGTTTACTGGGAACATGACATCATCCATCTTAAGTCAGAGAGCATCTTTACTGATTCAGGCATTTAGATGTATTTCCAGGGAACTATACTGCATGAAAAAGCCAATCCAGTTACATACTGCACAGTTTCCTTATTTTAACATTCGTGAATTGGCAAAATTATAGAAATACAAACAGGCAGCAGTTGCGCAGAGCTTAAGACACAGCAGGGTGACATGGAGGCTGTCCTCATGGGGGTGGAATTACTGTGCTGCCCGACCACACTGATACATCAATGTCTTGGGTGTGATGTTAGTTGACATTTCTGTGGGCTCTTACCAATGGGGGTACTGAATGAGGGATCTAATATGGATCTTCAAGTTTCTCAAAATAAGAAAAGAAGTAAGATCCTGCTACCAGTAGTAGCTCTTCTCCAGGCCCAGCTAAAACAAACTGAAAGGTAGCAGCAGAAGTGTAGGGCACTTGCTGGTCTAGGGCCGTAGGAACACTTTCAAACCTTCAGAATCTACCAGCAGAGTCACTCCAGGAATCTACTTTGGATGACTTTAAGATTAACACAGAGACAAGTGGACCTGACATGGGGGGGCGCATCTCAGGGAAACCAAGAGCTGAAAACACAGGCAGACTTTGATGGTACTGGAAACCTGCTTCAGAGAGCATGCTGAGGCATGTGACAAGGGAGCTTTTACAGCTCTGAAGTAACCCTGTTTCTTAACTCACCAATGAGTAACCAAAAAGGTGGAAGTTAATGGGAAAATGGAAAATAAAAGTGGGTTTTGAATCCATGGACAGCAGAAAATGAGAAACAGGCCTAACAAAGCCTTTGGTACCTGGTTCAACCTTTTTTTTTTTTTTTTTGAGACAGAGTTTCTCTGTACTAGCTCTGGTTGTCCTTGAACTCATTCTATACACCAGGCTGGCCTGCTTCTGTCTCCCTAATGCTGGGATTAGAGGCATGTGCCACCACTGTCCAGCCAGGCAACCTATAAATTTTCCAAGAAAAAAAAAAATTTTTTAATGTCATTCTCAGAGAGGACACGACACAGGTAATGAAACTGGCTAAAATTCATGTGGTTGACAACCTCAGAAATGGACAAAAAACTATGAACCCACCTCAAATACTGCTCATGAGGTCTTCCAGACCATGACTGCAACAAGAGACGGGAATGAGTACCAGGAGGACAGTGTAACACAGGGCACTGCTAAGACACCAGTCCTAAAGAGCTGGCTGCACAGCTAGCAAAAGCTTGCCGAATCAACAGCTCTTAGCTGGGAGTGACTTATGCATACGTGGAGAAAGGGTGGATAGTGTATGTTTTACTTAATGTACTTCTGCCATGATTCATCCCTTTGGATTCCAGATGATGTAGGTGACCTGCAGGTTTTACTTGTCCCAGCAAAATACCCCCCCCCCCCAAAAAAAAAGGTGATGACCAAGTGACCGGAGACACTCATCTTTTTCCCCAGGGGAACACCTCACTGCTGTTTTACCTGAGACCAAATGTCAATCCTGAAACTCTTTACCTGAGAACAAAAGCTGGGCAGCACAAGGTACTTACTCTATCCATGTCCTTCCAAATCCCAAAGAAATGACACAGCTGAAGACAGCTCTAAAGAGCCCACAACCATGAAAGGGCAGTCTGGGCCCTGCAGGAGCCAGGCCACCACCCACGGGCACCCAACAGCACAAACAACTCAGGAAATGGCTTCAGGGTTTCACTTTTCAGGATGAAAAGAAGTCCCTCTTAGGGAAACTGGTGACAAGGTAAGGGGTACACGCATGAACCCAGCTATCACCACTAGGACATGCTCCAAGGGCCAGAGCTGGTATGGCAACTCATCCTCTCCCTGGATACATGAAACACCCAAACCTGCAAAATGTAGTCAAAACTCACTGCCTCCACTTCAATTAGACAGAAAATAGAGGAAAAACAAAACAATAGAACAAGTGTTATTATCTTTCATTCCCCAGACTCAAAACCTTACACATGGTGTGAGTCAGTAGTTGACCTTTAAAATCTAGAGATAGTACTTGACCACAACACAGGACTCCTAGATGACAAAATACCAAGGGAAACAAAGGGAGGACCACCTACCACTGGATCTTCATGACAACGAGCCTGAGACCCTCAGACAGGAGCTCCACCTGGGACCCTCCCTTCTGAACCATATAAATTATTTCACTCAGCATGTTAGGAATGCTTGTTATGCACACTATGTATTAGCCAAAAGTTGCTTCATGGAGAAAGTAAAAGAGAGATAATGAATTGATGCAAATCATAAAATGTATTTCACCAACAGCAACTGGTACTTCACCTCAAAAAGCCGCAGACACAAAGGTTTCCTAAGCCAGATGGTTTCCAATTTGTAGTTAAAATCACTGCCATGCCCATTACTGAACTCACTTTTGAACCAAAGTCCCTAAGTAGTCATGCCTTCAAGTGGGTACCTGGTGAATGTTTGAGTCATTTCAGTGCTATCAATACCAGTAACTGTCAAAATTCCAAAACTAAGGAGCTCAGATACTGCCCCAATGTAATCCAAACTAAACATTTAATTTTATGGGATGACACTCTAAGTTTACAGCTAAATTTCAGACTTACAATATATATTTCAATGCCTGAACAATTACCTAACATAATACCACCAGAGCGTACACTTTCTATATGGCAAAAGAATCACCTTTGTATTCCAACACTACACCTATACTGTGAAAACAATCTTTCCCCTTTCCTGTGCTTGCTCGCTTGCATACACACACACACACACACCCCTCCACATAACTGTGCTGCCACCCCAAATTCAAGGCACCCGATGAGCACTCATGGCTACAGACTCATCACTGAAACACCAAAATTTAAATGATACTCTACTTGTCCACTTGTATCTGCTGCATGCTGGAAATGTGTCGCCAGGGACGTCTCATCCTGGAAGACTTCATTACACTCCAAACACTTGAGACTGTGTCTACAGAGCTTGGAGGGGTCTTCATCTAGGGGCATAGCTGGGCTGATGGGTGTGCTGGGAGGAGCTGAAATAACCGCCCCGGTTACGCCTGGCTGGACTTTGGTCACAGTGTGTGTGGCAGCCCCCAAGGAGCTCTGCAGAAGGGAAGAGGTGGTATTGCTGGACGGAGAGGCTATCATCTGGTCTGCTGGGACTGGCTTTAGAATTAGGTGGGAGCACTGCATGACCACACCCTTCTCCTTATGCCCTCGGGCATGGGAAAGGAGGCTGCACTTGTTGTAAAAAACCAGGTTCTTTGTACAATGGTTGCAGGTGACTTCGATGCGCACACTGCGCCTGTCATAGTGCTGGGTCAGGCTCTTTTCCAGGGCAAAGGAGTCCCCACACTCCAAGCACTTATACCCACGCATTGGTAACGTGATCCCTGCATTGGCAGGAGGACTGAGGTTTGGGATGTAAACAGGGACTGGATTGACACTGCTCAGCACCTTGTTGAAAGCTTCCACCACAGAACTCTGCAAGGATGACACCACCTGGACTCGAGACACCTTTTTGGGTGGCTGCGAGGCCGCTGCATTGATTATTGCCTGCTTTATTTGCTGCTGAGGTTTGGTTAGCACTTGGCGGAGTTCAGAGGTGGCCTGGGCACCCTGAGGCAGAAGGTTAAGGTTGGCAAGGTGCACAGTCTTTGGCACGAGTTTGGCATTGGCCAGGCTGGATGCCGGCACCACAACGGTTTGCTGCTGGATGGCATTGGCGGCTTTGATAATGGCACTGCTGGCACTCTGAACAGAGGCAGCAGATATGACCGTGGCTTTCACCGTCGTGTTGTTAGCAAGCTTCAGATTGATGACTTGAGACCCTGCCGTCTTGACAGCAGACACAGGAAGAAAAGCAGTGGCCACAGGCTTGATGGTAACCTGTTTGGGCGTCAGCTCTGCAGGGGACACTGCACTGGTCACCATGGCCGTCTGCAGAGGTGCCCTGGGGGGGGAGGAAAGGACAGCGGCTGATGCTGAAGATGAGAGGAGTGATGTCACAGATGCCATCACAGTTGCTGCCTGTTCAGAAGGCTTCTTCCCAGAGTCCAGATCCACTTCTGGCAACACTCTTGTCACTGTTCTCTTGATCTCCCCAGAAGACGTCTTGATGGTCTTGATGCGGACTTTGGGGATCGCTGGGGTAGACCCCACAGGAGAGGATGGAGAGCCTTTGCTGCTGTTCTCACTGGATACGCTCCTGGGGCTATCTGGTGGCTTCAGGGAGGCTTTCTTGGTGCCATCGATGAGATTCTGGGACTCGGGAGACTTGTCAGCAACTTTGGGACTGTCGTTCACTTCTTTTGGTAACGGAGAAGCTTCCCTGGAATTGGTCACAGGCTCTTTGCAGGAGTCTGAAGCGGCCTTTTTAGCACTCAGAGCTGCAATGGCAGCTATGCATGATGAGAGCTTGGAGGACGACTTTGTTTTGGAAGATGTGACAGCAGCGATGCTGGTGTCATTCTTCTCAGAACTCAGCTTTCCATCATGGGCCCTGTTTTCAAGCATCTTCTCAGAGTTCTCCTTCAACTTATCCTCGACTTTTCTGACCTTAAAAGGCTCATAAACACTCAGGGTTATGGAATTGGTTTCTGTTTCTCTCTTGACTTTGTTTTTATCCGCTTGGCCTGATGTAGAGATCCCAGTCTTGCTGGGGTTTTCTCCTCCGGGTGCCTTCAGTTTTTCATAGTCCTGTTGGGGCACATTTGATCTGAGACTGGCCCGTGCGTCTTCCTTATCTGGTGGGTCATCCACCTCTATTTTCTCATCATCATCAAACTCTTCAGCACTGGAGATAGGGCTGAACTGGCTGAATGCCGGGTCTTTAAGAGTCACCTCTGAGGTAGGTGTGTCTCCTTTTAAGGACTTTGTGCCATCCTTGCCATAGCTGTCAAGAGAGGATGCTGTGAGAAAGCCGTTGTGCAAGCCATTGCCTGTGGGATTATGGCCGTCTTTTTCCACTCCCTCAGAGGAGTCTATGTTGCGAACGTTCTTTACAATCACACTAACGCCAACATCTGAGGATGACGGAGTATGAGAGTCGTCATCTCCGTGCGCATTCTGCTTAATGTGGCTTTCGTGGTCATCGTGTCCAGACTCAATTGCTGCTTTGGGATCGACCATATCTGGTATGTCAAATGCTGCCAAGAGGTCATCAAAGTCTGGGGTCTTCATATCCCCCATGGTCATGAATTTGATCAGATGTTCTGTTAAAGGAAAGGAAAAGAATTTCATCAGCAATGAACACTGGTAATGAAGTCAACCTTACTGCAGAGTTCACACTAGCACATCGATGATCACTAAGAAAGTGTGCAAGGCAGCAACTCGACTTTGTGTAACTATAGAAATCTGAGTAGTCATAGTGACAGCCATGTGTAGACTAGCACCATTACAGCTTCAATGGGCTCTGTTCCAAAGTGTGGTACAGGATCAGCAGCAGAGGTCAGCAGAGTGGTCCTGATGTAGCACAGAAAAACCCAGTTCAGTGTAACACCTGAAAAAGCTACTTACCACTACAGTCATCACTCTTTTTTCAGAAAAAGCTACTTCTCCTAGTATTTACATCTTGACAATTTACTCCATTAACACGAGTTGGGGTGCTACACTAACACAAGATTACAATAAAAACAACCACAAGCTTCAAAAATCATCCACAGAAGAAAGAAATGGCTACACATATGGCGTCCATTAAATTCATGTGCGATTTTTTTCTTTTTAATCCCTAGGGAAGTAATTCCATCATTTTTAACTCTAGCTTTCCCTGCTGTGTTAAACAAGAATCAGCCAAGTATGGTGGTGCACACCTCTAAACTGCTTAGGAGGCAGAGGCAGGCGGATCTCTGAGTTTGAGGCCAGCCTGGTCTACAGAGTGAGTTCCAGGGCAGCCATGGTTATACAGAGAAACCCTGCCTCAAGAAAGAAAGAGAAGAAGGAAAGGGAGAAGAAAGGAAAGAAGAATTTTAGAAAATAAGATAAGTAAAACCATTACCAGAAATGAGAGTTATACAAATAATGCATGTTGGAGTCCTTCTTTAAGAAACCCCTCAACCCACTGGCAAAGAATAAAGACAGTGGAGAAGGGGGGGCGGGGGTATCCCATCTCTGAACCTGGATGGTTCCCCCTTGGGGATGCTACTTTCTGGTACATCCACTGTCTGTATACTTGTCTCTTGTCACCTACCATCACAAGAACAGGCAATGTGTCATCTGTCACCTTTGCATCATAAACGCTAAAGAACAAGGCTAAGATCTGGGCTCAGCTCCTCCACACTAGCTCTATTCCCCCAGGAAGTAAGGAGGTAACAGATTCTTTGGACTTGGTCCTTTCTTCAGCAGTGAAGGCAAGCACCAAGAGGAGAAGGAAAAACAGAAAGGAGAAGGGGGAAGCAGGAAGAAGAGCGGAGCTGAAAGAGAGCAATGTTGAAGCTGGCTTAGGAAGCTTGCAATGGCAAGAGGACCTGGACAGCCCAGGACTCTCCGCTCTTCAGGATTCACTACGTTGTTCCTCTTTTAAATTTGCTCTACTGGTCTCTGAGACGCTGACTTTCACATTTTATTCAACTCTTTAATATTTTTCTTACAATCTGTAAAGGTCAAGCACTCCTGATGAGAGCAACAATCTTCAGACCTAGGTAAAATGCACCACAGGTGAGAGTGGACATGCAGGAAACCCATACAGGCTTCAGATGCACCACGGCTTAAAAACTCAACAGAGTACCACTCTGACAGCAGATCTAAATGCCACTGAGACACTGGGAAATCGTCCATCCAGGACAAGACAAGCACAAGCTCACTGGGTGCAGAAGCATAAATCATCGCAGTTATACACACAGCTGGGAAAGCTGCAGGACTTTTCTCCCGGTACTCTCCTTACCTGGAGGCAAACTGTGCTCACTGTATTTTCTACTGCTGCACCAGACAAGGAATGACACAGGTCCCCAACCCCAACATAAAAGGCTGCACTCAAGAAACAAAACACAAACGCTCCAAAAGTAACATTAAAATGTCTCTGAGAAGTCATCCACGGGAGTAAAGACTGGTTGTGGTTTTCTTTTTAAAAATGGCACTGAGCATTCAAACTGCAAAATGGAGGGAATGAGAAACAATCTGCCAGCCACATATAAACAGCCACATAAAAGACTCCACCCACTTCAGAACAGCACCTGACCATCACCGCCTCTACCCCAAGCATCTCACTGCTGCTGTGAACTGAATGCCCGCAACAAAGCTGCACTACTGAAGCCGCCCTGTGGCTAGCTCTACTAACTAGGTGGGGTTCCATGTTTTACATCTCCATTTTTTGAATGTTCAGTATGTAGAATTGGGCTGGGGTCCAGTTCAGTGGTAGCATGCTATGCTTCATTCCAGAATCAAGAACCAGCCCTTTCACCCAGCACCATCGCAGTTGTTTAAAAAGATCCAAAAGCTGGGACCCAACTTAGTCACCCCTACTGGTAGCTGGGCCCTAAGAACTCTAGGCTTTCTTCACAGAAACATGAGATTTTTGTCTTACCCTCTCTTGATGATGTAATCAAAAGACGTCATATTTACACGCTGCCCATCAGAGGGTGATCAGTCCAGAAACAACAGCAAGAGATAATTTAAATACTCACTGGGTGAAAGGCCAAGGACAGAAAACCGTAAAGAATGATGAAAGGTCACCACAAAAAACCTGTGCAGCTGGCAGGTGCTCACACCGCTGCTGGCAGGTCTCCTTATGAGTGTTTATAAGAATCAAATGTCAACCATTGCCTTCTCCTGTTATTCATCCAGGGACCTGCCTCACAAACTCCAAGAGAGGAGACCCTCTCGTCATCCACAGCTTGCTGCCTTCACCTTCCCCATGCCTTCCTGCATGCTAGCTAAGTTCTGACAGCCTCAGAAAGACTGCCACAGCCTGCAACACACATCCCTGGGGGGCTGGGAAGGTTCTATCCTACAGGAACCTAGCTGCGCCCAGCTCCCTGGCCCCTACTCTACCTACATATGGTTCACCCTCTTTTCTTGGGAACAGCAAGGAAACCCAAGGAGAAACAGTGGGGCATTTTTCCAAGTTAAAGGCTAATTAGCAATGGTTCACCTTCGGGAAGCCTGACTCTAAGCTAAAAAGGCAAAATAGGTACAATGGCCAGTACATCCCCACCTGAAACCCGAGATCCCTGTGGCTGGCACACTCACTTCTCTGGATTGTAAAGTTAATGTAATCAGCACCACTCTGTAACCTCACACCTCTTTTTTGGTTTATAGAAATGTTTTTCATACCCACAATCACTATTACCCTGACCCTTCCTACAGTCTGGACAGCAAGAACAAATGACCTGTGCAGAGGGGAAAGTGTTTGTTACTCTGAACACAAAGAAGATGTCTGTATCTCAGATTCTGTCATTTTCCACCCTGATTCCTACGCATTACCACCTTAGAAATAAGTCATATTACTTAAAATCATTTAAAACATAAATCTCAGCCTTTTTAACTGTTACATTTATTTGCACGTGTGGGTACGCATGTGCATACGTGTGTGCCGATATCTACATGTGTACACACGCAGACATGTGAGTGTTTGTGCCATGGTATTTATGGATGTCAAAAGACAACTTTTGGGAGTCATTTCTCCTTCCACCATGCATCTTGAGAATCAAACTCAGATACTCAGAATGCCCTCTCAACTGCCCTTGCTCTTCTTTTAAAAGTTAAGGGGGGTGAGGGTGGGGGAAGAGATGGCCCAGTAGTTAAAGAGTGCTGGCTGTTCTTCCTAAAGACCCAGGTTCAATTCCCAGCACCCACATGCCAGGTTAAAACTCTGTAACTTTGGTTTTTGGGGTTCCAACACCCTCACACATACATACATACAGGCCAAACACCTAAATGCACATTTAAAAACAATTAGTTTAAAAAGGTAACATAGGAGCTGAAGAAATGGCTTGGTTAGGAGCACTTGCTCTACTTGCAGAGAAAACCAAGATTTTGGTTCCTAGCACCCACATGGCGGCTCAGTTCCAGGGTCTCCTACATCCCCTTCTGACCTCCATAGACACCAGGCATATACATGGTATACAAATACACACAGGTGAAACACTCATAGACATAAAACTTAAAATCTAAAAAAAAAGTTACCATAAAGCTGTCTCATTTTAGCTTCCGTTGCTCTCAACAGTTTGATTTCTCAAACACAATCAGTTTATCATAACAGTACTCTGCATTCCATGTCTACCTTATAAAATACATCTTCCTTAGAAAGACCCACAATCAGGGCTGGAGAGATGGCTCAGAGGTTAAGAGTACTGCTTGCTCTTCTAGAGGTCCTGAGCTCAATTCCCTACAACTACGTGGTGGCTCTGAAAGATGTATAATGAGATACCGTGCCCACTTCTGGAGTTCTGGTGTAAGTGCAGGCAGAAACATTGGATACGTAATAAAATAAATAAATCTCACAAAAAATAAGAAAAATAAAAAACACATAAATTTAAAAAGACCAATGTTATCACACTGGATGTAATAGTGTACGCACACCTTTAACCTCAGCACTCCAGAGGCAGAGGCAGATGGATACCTGTTGGTTTGAAGCCAGCCTGTTCTACAAAATGAGTTCTAAAGACAACCAAGGTCACATAGTAAAACCCTGTCTCAAAAAAATAAAAATAAAGAACAAACAAACAAACAAAAAAAAGCTGATATAAATACCCACAGTTTACTAATAGCAGGGTACTTAATGTACATTGCCAAGGGAAAAATGGTAGGCAAGGTTACACTTCAAAAAAATCAAAAGGAAGGAAGTTAGAGTCTGCCCAGTTTCCACTCTTCTTCCTCCTATGACAGAGACAGACAACATGCTTCGTTTCCTGCTCAAGTCTTAGATTACAGGAAAATCTTCCATCTTTGTTGGTACAAGCTAAGAGTTACCAAGAAAAAAAGAGAAACTTCAAAAACCTATTTACTCCTTAGTCATAGTTCTTATACTTTACAATAAAAAGCTGCTCAATAAAAATAAAAATAAAAACTGTTCTATCTGCATAAAAGTGGCTTCGCAATTTCCAACCAGAAGAGGTGTTCATCGGCGTGGTAGCGCATGCTTACAACCCTGCCACTCAGGAAGTAAAAGCAGGAGAAATAGACAAGGCCAGCGCAAATACACAGTGAGGTGAGGCCAGCCCAGCACAAAAGACCCAGGCTCAAATCAACAACAACAAAAGTGATTTACTCAATCCCT